TCGTAATGTACAGTATATATATATATATATATATATATATATATCTTACTGTACTAACCTTCAACGACATATTTTTTATATTAACAGCCGTGAAATAAAGAAAAATGTCCAATCAAACTTCCAAGAAATTGGGCCAATATGGGATCATTTTATCTGTATGTTCTTTCCACTCTCTGATTTAATATTATCTATGTCTTCCGTGGGGCCCAGCTTTCGTCTTCAGAGAGATGCACAGGTCGACGGGAGAACATTTCATTATAATTAGACCAAGCGAAAGTAGATACCGCCTCGTTCTGCTTCAAGACGAAGACAGCCAGCTGCAGAAATGCTGGGTACAATTTTTGTCCAGACAATGGACTTTGTCCAAATAAATTTCTCGCGTTAGTACAGCATTTGCACAAACTCTTAGAACTACAAGTACTAAGGTGACTGAAGGATTGAAGTAAAAAAGTAAAGGTATCCTTGTAACAGGCCCTGGAGGCCCATAGGGTTGTGAGACGTCGAGGTTCCCACATTTTCTAGACAATCGGCTCATAGATGGCGGTGATGTCAACCTTACGCGCCGGCCGCCCTTCACTCCCCAGGAAGATTCCTGGTACTCATTTCTGTTAGAGGCTGAGTCGAACCCAGGGCCATAGTGCGGCTGGAAAAATTAGGTTAATTGAAAAATGCTCTTTTTTCCCTTCCTCCCCCGAGACAAATCGTGCTTCACCTCCCCCGTGATTTTTCGTTTTCACCTTCTCTTCTGCTATACTTTCACATCTCTCTCTGTACCGTGCTTCTAGGTGTTAAAACGAGGAATATATATATCTAAGGACGAATGCCATAAACACCGCAGAACCAACTGTTTCATCCATGGTGGGCAAACCATGCAGACAAACTTCAGGCGCTGCACTGTGTCAACTGTCATACCAGGCTGTATACAAGAGGACAGGGTTTTGATTTCGTGTGTCTGCTTTGCATATACCGCATCACAGGTCCTATGCATAAGCCCTCAAAGACGAGACACAAACATCTCACAGGTCCTATGAATAAGCCCGCAAAAGACGAGACTCAAACATCTCACAGGTTCTATGAATAAGCCCGCAAAAGACGAGACTCAAACATTTCACAGGTCCTATGAATAAGCCCGCAAAAGACGAGACTCAAACATCTCACAGGTTCTATGCATAAGCCCGCAAAGACGAGACACAAACATCTCACAGGTCCTATGCATAAGCCCGCAAAGAGGAGACACAAACATCTCACAGGTTCTATGCATAAGCCCGCAAAAGACGAGACACAAACATCTCACAGGTCCTATGCATAAGCCCGCAAAAGACGAGACACAAATATCTCACAGGTCCTATGCATAAGCCCGCAAAAGACGAGACTCAAACATCTCATAGGTCCTAGGCATAAGCCCGCAAAAGACGAGACACAAACATCGTGTATGAGAAAGCGGAAACACCTGTTTGATAAATCACTGTATTTTGGGATATGACACCGTGTACGTTTTATTTCATAATTCTTAAGCTAGTTATTTTATGAGGCCATGTCATAGCTCAGGTGGTCAGTCCCCAGCTTCGCACCGCGGCGGTCTGGGTACGAGCTCAAGTCATATCATGTGGGATTTGCGATAGACAAAGTTATACTGGGGCAGGTTTTCTCAGAGTATTTCGGCTTCCCCTGCTAATTCTCATTCCACCGACTGCGCCACACTCATCGTCATCATCATCCGGGGCTGGTACAATAGGCCAATTAGTGGCCAAAGTACCAAGTGAACTCAGCCTCACCCACCCCAAAAAACTAAAAAAATAACTAGTCATTTCATGGTCATATCAGTATCAAGATTATGCAATGTCGATAGAAGGATAATTCATTAATGTAGAGTGGTTGTTAGGACCGCCTCTGTGGTCTAGTGGTCAGAGTTCCTGGCTACAGATCCAGAGGCCCGGGTTCGATGCCCGGAGCTACCGGATTTTCTGAGAAGTAGTGGGTCTGGAACGGGGTTCACTCAGCCTCCTGAGGATAATTGAGGAGCTATTTCAAGGAAATAGCGACTCCGGTCTAGAAAACAGAGATTAACGGCCGTGGGGATTTGTTACGCTGACCATGCGACACCCTCTTTCCGCTAAAGTTGGAACTAACTTCGCCGACAAACGGCGGTTGCTCGGTTAGTATAGTTCGTTTGCGGACTATAGGCCACGGAGTGGTTGTTGGGATAGGAATCTGTAGGAGACAGTACTAGAAGACAAGCCGCTCCAATACCTATTTGTTAACCAAAAATCCCATATGTTTATCAATGTTTCGGATAACGTGATGCCGTCTTCTTCAGGGAAAAATAGTGAAGATTCTGTATGCATGCCTATATGACACAAAATGAGTGAATTAGAGTTAATTCGAACGTATGTTAGCATTTGAACTCCCGAAGAGACACAAAAATTCGAATTAATTAATTAATTAATATAATAATTTGTTATCTATGTAGTATAATGCACATAAATCACAATGTCCTAAATGTCTTATGTTTTGGTATTATTCGAGGGATTTTATTTTGGAATTAGTTGCTCTGCTGCTGGTTTGACGCAGGATTACTGGACACGTTTGTGGATTCTGAAAGGTGTTACACTCTGGCAAAGCCTCACATATGTAATAATAGCCGTGTCAGTGCAAAGGAATGACACAGCCTTTCCACGCAGCGAAAAGTTTATTTTTGAGAGAACCAATGCAGTGAGTGTAAATTGAATCATCCCATTGCATGAAGCTTCCTTCTGTATTGTCAACATGTTTTCGCAGTAAAAACAACGGATTATTCATATTTCGTCTAGAACGTATGAAATTTTCCTAACGCATCCAAATGTATGACCTTGTTTGTCTTGGATATTTATGTCCTTTTCATGGAGTGCACAAAATTAATAAATTCGAGATTGTCGTGACTGTCCATCTACCTACACACCACTCGGAAATACAAATAATGCAGTGTTATCGCTCATCTACATATTTTACAGTTCACAGTTACACATACACTTGACTAGCCGTATCCTGGCAACGGGTTTTAACACAGTAATTATACCAGTCTCTCTGTAACTGCAGTACACATGAAGTCTTCTCTGTATAGTCTAATTCCATTTTGATATCTCTTCTCAATCATCTCAGATTTCCTTCTCAAGAGACTCTCTCGGTTCCACATCAGCCAAGTCCAAGTCACATTGCGACTGACGGTCAGTCAGTCAGTAAGTCTTGGTGTCGAGCCCAATCTGGGGCTGATCAGATATTTATTACCTTTAACAGTTACGGTCTTGTTTTTGTGGGGCGCCCTTTCCGACGAGACGACGGGTCTGCCTTTTGTATGTGCTGCTGGCCCTTGCGAGTGCAGTCTTTGTAGGGTCTGAGCCCCTTGGGACTCGAAACCATATTTTACTGTCTCAGATTTGAGACTTCCCTTTTCGTCGCCTCTTACAACTCGCAGGGTCACGGTGGAGGTATTCGACCACGCCTCCACCTCTTATACTAGTCAAAGTCAAAGTCACATTGCGACTGATGGTTAGTCAGTCAGTAAGTCTTGGTGTCAAGCCCCATCTGGGGCTCATGAGCAGATATTTATTACTGTTTGACAGTTACGGTCTTGATTTTGTGTGGCGCCCTCTCTGACGAGAGGACGGGTCTGTCTTCTGTATATGCTGCCGGTCCTTGCCACCGCAGTCTCTCTCGGCTCCGAGTCCCTTGGGACTCGTGACCATATTTTACTGTCTAAGAATTGAGACTTCTCTTTTCGTCGCCTCTTACGACTCGCAGGTTCACGGTGGAGGTATTCGACCCCACCTCCATCTCTTATACTATGAACTCGGATTATCGTTATATAGCCTCGGGTCTGATCCAACAGAAGCAGCGTTACAGAGGTGCGTTTAGCTCGCCGTTTCGTAGAAACGGCAGTTCTATTGTTGCGTGCGTGTTTATTTCAGCAGGGACCTGTTTAACGGGTTGTTGCCTAGAAATGAACTCCTACTTTGGCTCAACTATTTTCCAACAGTGACATCAACAACAACAATGCAATCCTTTTATATAAGTGCTTGCAAGCGGCAGGTGGCCTATAACAGGCAGACACTGAAATTATACGTAACAAAAGCTGAATTAAGTCTAGAACTAGAATAGACTGGAATTGAATCCTCCTCAATAAAATAATAAAGGTAACAGGATATGACGTAACTCAGTGGGATTAAGCGAAGGAAAATGTACACTGAAAGAGATGCTATGTTCATTGAAAACGTCCAGAGATTTGCTGATGTTGTTTGCTGTGACGCACCTTGTTGAAGGGTTAAGTCTTGAGACATAAACAAATAGAAATAATTCAATTCGTGTTTATTTTCGTGCAAACTTAACAGCACATTATCTTACAAGATAGAACCCTCATTTATAAAATTCTTTAGGTAAAACTGGACAAAAATAGTGGAAAAATTTCACGTAAACCTACACGCAATATTTCGCTTGTTTTGAGCATAACTCGTTACATAATTTTCATAGCAGAGACTGTCACAAACAAAAAATTGTGAATTAGTATTGTAACATGAAGCATAAAGACCGGAATCGTGGAGCGAGATAAGACGTACATTGCTACGCAACGGTTCGGTAAACACGTTTCAACGTAGGCAATAACCGTGACAACGCCGTTGCTAAGGTAACGTGGCGAAGCAAACACATTCGCCTGGAAACAGCATACGACAATGAACAGTGTTTTCTGCGGATGCATTCGACTCTATATAATAATTGACACTTCAGTCGAAAAATAACTTTGACACTGACAGTTCATTTGATAGTCTAAAGCCAGCCTGTGAAGAGAAGACTTAGCATATGATTTAAAGTTAGAGTGAGACTGGTATAATTACTCTGTTGAAACCGTTATCAGGTTACGACTAATTAAGACTGAGAACCTTAGTGTGTGGGCGTAACTCAGTGTCTCAGAAGAGGCTAGACGCAATTTCTATCAGCAAGAACTCCCTAGTCGAGAGACAAGCAGAACCATGGCCGATGTCACCAATGAGGAACCCACCGAAATGAGGTATCAAGAGAAACTTAATGGTGATCTATCATATGAGCTAATCCTGGCAGTGCCTGTGACTGTGACTCCTCCCAAACGACCTTCGCCTCGCAAAAATGTTTCAGCGGAAAACCTCATGGAGAAAATGAAAGCAGCTGAAAAGAGAAGATTATCATTAAAAGCAAAAAGATTGGCTGTTGTGGCTACCGAGATATCAAAGATTGAGGAGGCATCAAAGAGGAAGAAGGAGCTAATAAATAATTTCATTTCAAAAACACAAGAAGACCTAGAACGAAAAATGAAAACGGCAATTGCGAATCGAGAAATGTTTGAAAATGACTTAAAGTCTAGAGTAAGGGAGGATTTGGAGAAGATAAAACGGTTTATAGGGAGCCTAGAGAATGAAGCGACAGATGCAGTGGAGTAGAGGCTAAATGAGAAGAGAACATGAGGAGCAGGTGCTAACAAGACGTGAATATCTCAAGCAGCTCAAGACTTGAGAAGCTGAGATGGTGCGACAGAATAAGGTGATCCTATCCAGTGAAAATGATGAGCAACAGACAGATTCTTCTGATTAGTTGGAAATTCAGTCATGGACTTACTTTAATTTGCCCGGGTCCCGGTTGCTTTTCGTGAAATTAAAATTTTAAGAAACAGCGATGGAAATTTGATGAACACATCTTCTCATTTACTTTCAATTGTTAATATTGTGTTGTTCTCTCAGTGTTTTCAAGTTTTCATTCTTTTTGTGTGTTTATATGTATGTGATTTTTGGGAACCATGAATAGGCAATATATATGTGTGTGTGTGTGTGTGTGTATAATTGGCTTCATGCAGACAACTGACTTTACCCTAGTTTCCTTTATATAGAATTACATGTGGCAGCTCCACACGTCAAAATAACAGTGGAATAAAATTTCTGGTTGTGCAGTTTAAAAGAAATCACTGTCTTTTTCACATTCTAGTATATTGTATATCCAAAAGGGTCATTATGGTCAGATGATGTCAGAGTATTGTCATGTAATGCTTTGTTTTGTGATTTGGTTACTTAATATTGTTGTGTCTGGTTATTGATGCAGTTCTGTTGTGCATATTTTTATATCACAGTGCTTCTTATTTTGTATATGATGGTGAAATAAAGTCATGCATCAAGAAAGACGATTTTGTATTGTTAAAGTACCGAGCTGAAAATTATTATATTGTAGCATCCTGTTGCACTATTCTCTTAGTGTCATCATCAGGTGTTAAAGTTATTCATTCAAAAACAAGACACACAGCACAACACAACCCACCAACTCAAACACACATGCACATCTAGGGAATTTTTTATTAACAACATAAGCAACAACAGAAGACAGCACTTTCCTCACCCAATAATTTTAACGCCTGATGACAGCCATATTTGTCAAAACGTATAGTGACAAATTTTTTACATTTTGAAAAGTGAACAACTTGAAATAAAAATTATATGGAACATAGTAGTGTTGCAACTGAGACCATGAAAATCTAGTCGACAGTAAGGGAAAGTATGTAAGCTCGCTTCTGTGATGGATTTATGCAAAGCAACTATTAATTAGCCAGAACTTTAATTTTGCTGATACTTTTTTGGCCTAGCAACAGTTTACTTTAGTGGTTACATTCAACCTGATTTTTTTTTGAGGTAAGCAAATTGTGGAAATGTTACACTGACTTTCCGATAACACTTGCCAAAGATTTTATAAATGCACAGAGACGTCTTTCTCATCTTATGCACTGTGCATAAACGATCAATAATCCCAACAATCCAAACTTAATGCCGTCTATAGTCACACCCTTAAGTACGTAACATATATTTTACATATTTTTCACAGCAGAAACTTTTTCGAACAAAAGTTGAGTATGAAACACTTACTATAATGAATATATATATATTAATATTTCTTTTTCCCTGAAGTATTGCGATTTTAGACTGTTCCGAACATTTGATATAATTTCCGAATAATCAACAATGGTTTTCCGCACATATTCGCATATTATCAAACTGTTTAACGGCCGTGGGGATCCGCTGGGCTGACCACGCAACACTCTCTATCCGCTAAAGTTTGCATTAACTTCGCCGACAAGCTGCGGTGGCTCGGTCGCTATAGTTCACATGCGGACTACAACCCACTGAGTTCGTTTTGTTTTATATTGTCAGTAACTATCAAACTAAGGTTCGTCCCATGCGTATATAAGTGTGTACTTAATTAAAACATCATTTCGCATAAGAAAATAAATACTTCTGAGCTTATTTAATAAATAATAAAAATATTTGAGTACACTTGGTTGTCGACTTACGACCGACTTCCGTTCTGACTGACAGGTAGTAAGTCGATCTGGTCGTATGTCGACCATATATTTATTAACAGTATTTTTAACCTATCTAATCTTTTTATTATCTTTATCCTGATTTATTATTAATTTATTTATTTATCTTTTTTTTTGTGATCGTAAGTGCGGCCGGTCATAAGTCGCATAGGTCGTAATTCGACGACCAAGTGTATATATGTTAGCACGTCACACATACGGGTAATTCATTCTAGACTAGGCTATGGGATTGACGACACAGGAATCTGGGTTCTATTCCTGGCAGGGAATTCTCTACATTTTAAGAGAGCAGGACGGCCCTGGGGCCCACCTAATGACATAGCTCAGTCGATGAAGTGACTAGTATATGGGCTGGATGACCGATGTTTCAGGATTCCATTTCTGGCAGGGTCAAAAGATTTTTATTTTCTCCACAAATTCTAAACCCGCTTTAGGGCCCACCCAGCATCCTATGCAATGGATACCTTGTGCTGTTTCCCAAGCGGGATAAGGCGACAGAATCATAAAACTGACCACCCACAACCATCTACTGCCGAAGTTAAAAATGGTAGAGCTATACCTCCATTCCTCAAAACATCTTCATGAAGTGGTGTTTAATTAATCCATGGATAACTTGACGTTTATAATTCCTTCTGCCGAAAGTTCTTCTCAAGTGTACAATGCATACTTCCAGATACTTTTATAGTCTGTCTGGGTGTCATGGGCGCAGGGCAACCAACCTTACGGTATAAAACGAGACTGTTGCCGGGCGAAAGAATCTCTCATTAGGCACAGATATGTCCAGTCCTTTAGGAGGATAGGTTGCCAATCTGAGCTGTTCTAACCTACTTTGCTAACACGTGTGAGAGCAAAAAGAATGATTCAGCTGGCAGCCAAGTCTATATATTTCTTCACCCGAGCTCAGAATAAACAATAAGTGGAGCACACGCACGCCCAGCTCGTTGTGCCCGGATCCACTGGAGGGACGCCATTACAGCTGTCAGTCGGCGCCATTTCGAGTTTCCAGATATATAGCAATCCCTCACCAACCGTGATTTTGTCAACCGCCCTTCTTAATGTATCGGTTCGCTTCCATTTGTATCAAGTATTCAAATGCAGTATTTTGTTTTATGTATACGGTAGCGTAGTCGGTTGAGGCACTATGGCTACAAGCCGGAAGGTCGCGGGATCGAATCCCGATGACGTGCATTTTTCAATTGACCTAATCCTTCCAGCCGCATAATGGCCCTGCAGTCGACCAAACCTCTAATAGAAATGAGTACCAGGAATCTTTCTGGGGGTAAAGGGCGGCCGGCGCGTAAGGCTGCCAACCTCACGGCCATCTGTGAGCATAATGTCTAGAAAGTGTGGGAACGTCAACATCTCACAAACCTATGGGCCTCCACGGCCAGTTACAGGGATACCTTTACTTTACTGTTTTAGTTTCACACACTGTTTCTTAATTTGCACGCACACGGAAAGCATTGGTGGTTTTCGAACCAAAATATTCGATTTTTCTTGAGGATAAGGCTTTAGTGTATCTTAAACATGCTTTATAATTTCGACTACAGCATGTATTTTTCTGATAAATTTTGTTTGCTTTGCTTTGTTTTGTGCTAGGCAACGGCTCGATAAACACGTTCCATCTGAGATTTTGGTAAATAGCCATTGTTGGATAATGTGTACAACAATATGTGACAATAAATGAAATCCGCTGCTGGGTATGGGGCCAATAAACACGCGGCTATAACAATACGCAAAAAGAATGAAAGGTGTTTTCTATGTTGTCCGCGCCGGGATAGTTTGCTAGGCAACTGCTTGGTAACATGATTGTACAACAAAAGAGGGGCTGTGTTTTCTGTGCAATTGTTGAGAGCTGTTACCGAATCAAGACTAGTGGAAATAGACTGAGAAGACTTAGTGTGGAGTGATTTGTAGTGTGGAAATTAACAATAGTCTTATAGTTACTTGTAGTTACGGCCTGTGAGTGGTCAATAAATCTATTTACCAAACCGAACCCCGTCTATAGTCACTAATATACATGAAAATACATTCTAGTCACGGATTTATAATAGATAGAGAAAAAACATTTTAAAAATTAACTCTTTTTAAGTCTGGTGACTCACAACATACCGATATAAAAGTGACGCAACGGCTCAGTGCGTAAAACAGAGGCGAACGGAAGTGTTAATGAATGAATTCTTACATGCACTTTAATAGCTTGAAACCAAAATAAAACTGTACCAGGGGCAAATGACGTTGCCTCAGCTGGGGCAGATAGAGGCTTCCATATTCTCATATCATCATCCATAACCTGTAACGTATACATACCCTCAGTGCTTAGAACCATTGCAGATAATAATTATCCATGAAGCAGTATGTTTATGTAGGAACTATTAACTCCGTATAGCAGAGTCCTTGATAAGAATCTAATAGTTACTCAGTTGGTTGAGAAATATTCTGGTTAATTTGGGACCAAAGTACAGAACGAAAAGATGTTAGTGTTTTTTCGAAACGATGGTAGAAACAAACATGAAAACTCATGAAGTTTATCTAGAGATGCTCGAAATATGCTCCATTAATTACTCCGCAAACACCAACGCGATATACGGTTGCTTCCCATGCATGCCACAACTGTAACAAATCTGCCTTGGCTGTGGCTTGTAAAATTCGCTCTCGGAGGGACTGTGGCTTCGAAGGGTCAGTATGCCCGGTCCTCCACATATCCTCTATAGGTAGAAGTCGCAAGGAGTAAGGTCCGGACACCTACTGGACCGAGGAATCCGTCCTGCTAGTCCTATTACAAGCAATACTGCGCCTTTTGCACTTGAGACGCCATTTTCATTTGATAGCGATCGGAGCGCCTCTCGGGGCTGATATGTAATAAACAATATTGCCAACTACAATTTAATCAAATTCCTCGCTATTTTCAAGTTGTTTCGTGTTTGTATCTATAACTAATTCAGGAATATATTGTAAGGGGCTGAAGAACTCATATCCTAGGCAACGATCCACGTTCCCGCTATAGCGCTACAATCGGAATGCATCCGTTGCTAGGCAATGGAATGGAATGGAATCGTAGAAGCTGCAAAAGTGATAATA